CCCCAAAACCCCAAAACCCCAAAACCCCAAAACCCCTAACTTTTGCTGGAAAATTGAAAAATTATTATAATGGACGAAAAAGATCTCATGATGCCTCCTAGTTGGGTCCTTGATGGACAATCAACCATGATGTAAGCCTTCCTTTAAAAATCTCATATAGGCAAAGCCAAGGGATTGATGATGATTCTGGTAAGTTTTCTCCTAATTTTTAGTTGAGCATTTAAGACCACCTCCAAGTGCTAGCCGAAGGGAGAAGAACAAGTTCTACGCAATGCAGAATCGGAGAAGGAAATAAAGAGTATATCAAAGAGCTCGAGAGCAAGGTCGAAACACTCCAACAGAAAGTAGCAGACCTTAATGATAAACTTGATATGTACAAATAATAAGATGTTCTCTATCGCTTGTGGTGGAGAGGCTCATTTTACTGATTTTGAGTCCCTTCGAGAAACTTGGAGATACAAGATAGAAGATCTCGTCAACTCTAAGGAACAGAAGGATCACTTCAAGACTTTCGAAGAGATAAAGGACTCCTTTGGACCAATGGGCACTGCCAGGAGACTTATGTTGAAGAAATGCTTTAGGACAGTTATTGAAAATTTGGTTCCTGATCATATTAAACTAGTCATGTTCTTGGCACCGAAGTTATCATCTATATCAGACGAAGAGTATGATAAGCTGTTTGCTTTGCCAAAGCCTGCGGCTTTGCATAAGCTAAAGACCGAGGCTTTTTCAGATGCTGATAAATAGCCTCTATGATATAGGGATTAGGGGCAATCTTAGGAAGGTCTTTACAATGAGAAGTAGTCTTCTCAGTGATATCAAGACTAATATGAAAACTCTAGTGAGACAACTTATTCTCATACAAAATCAGATTTTCAAGGAACAAGATCGGATGAAGATGGTAATTAAGAGTATTAATAGTTATAGTTCAGGAAATCAGTAACTGAAATGGATTCCCAGTACGAAAGTATACCGAAATTGTTGGCCCATTTTAAGACGGTCGAGTCTGACCCGCAGTACTCGATTTTCAACATGTGGGAAATTAAGAAGAAGTCAGAAATTTTACCCAATGAGACAGTTGGCGAAGTTTGTCTATCTGATTATGATATATAACAATTCAATTAAGATTTTCTCTAAAGGGGTTTTGGGGTTTTGGGGTTTTGGGGTTTTGGGG